GTGGACTTTCTGGAAGGCTCCTCTAGATTGTAATCAAGTTCTGTCTTCAAATGGGTTACCTGCTGTTTATTAGTGGACATCCCTACTCCTTCAAGCATGGAGGGATGCTTAGGGAGCTGGGCAGAGGGCTTCCACAGGAACCCTCAGGAGATGCCAGTGCAAGAGTGCAAGGGATGAGCAGTCAGGCTCAAGCCACAAGACTAGCCAACGGCGGGACAAGGAAAAGTCAGTATTGTCACAGGCCTTGCATGGACAACACTGGGGGAAGGTCCCTGACAGAAAACTGACTGCTCCCTGGAATGTGGGGCCCACTGGGCTCCTTGTTTGCTTTTCTTCTTCACAAATGTTCTCCGTGATCAGGACCCCTCGTTGGCCATTCCAAAATACCTGGCACGATGGGGAACGAGCCTTTGACGTCAGTGGGGCGTTTGTCTACTCAGGTGTAGCTAATTTCTTCAGGGTGCAGTTTTGTTTCTGAACCTGAGAAGGCCACCTCATACCCTTGTCACTGTGTGTTATGTGTGTGTGAAGGGGGACCAGGGTACACAAGTACAGAAAGGCAAGGAGGGAGGATGGATTCTTGACCCGCCATACTTTCAAAGCCAAACAAAATGTTTGGATTGGGCCCCTTCTCCAAACGCTAGTCTACCCAGCCTCTTGGCCTCCTGGGACTGGGAAGGGCCAGCTCTCCTACTATATAGACCTCGCCGCCCTTCCCACAGACAGAGGTTAGATCAGGCTCTTCTTGCTCTACAAGTGGGTCCATCGTGAGCCCCCAGAACCCTGATCAGCAGAAGTCGGAATAAGGGAAGGTGTGAACGTTTCCAGAGAACCAGAAAGAGAGCGTCTAGTCTTGGACTTTGCAGAAATTTCCACTGAGAGTCTAATGATAATACTGTTCCTCAATCTGTGTGCCCAGCCCCTATGGGGAATTAAGGGAGTTAACTGAGATTGGGAGGCTGATTGGTCCCTGAGGAGACAACACTTAGATGACTGCTTTAAAGCCAAATGCGGGATCGAGCAGTCTAATGAGTGGAGTAAGTGGGAGGTAATGGCTGAGGGAGGACAGAAAAGCTACTACTAGAACATCCAGGCTCTGCCCCTTTAAAGGAACCCTGCCTGATAACACCCGCTGGGGGAACCATGGTAGCTAGCCTTCCCTGGAGAGGTTAGGGAGTAATCTCCCACCAGGAACGCCAGAGCCAGCAAGCAAGCGATATACTGTGACCGCGGCACCTCCTCCAGGTACCTTCCCTCACCTGGAAGCTGTGACCCAGGCAGAGGTTTGGGGATATACCGTGGACTTGGAAAAGTCAGTGGGAAGCTGAGCCAGTGGATTCCAGGTAGTGAAAAGGTTGGGGTTTAGGAGAAGTCCAGCACCTGGGCTCGAGGAACAGAGGTGAAGCCCAGTCACCGAGAAGCTCCTTCCCGAATGCTGATGCTTTAGGCTTCTCCAGTCCTGTGCAGGAAGTCAAAAGGAGCCAGGTAAGAGATCCCCAGGGACAGAACTGAGCCAAACAGAACCCTTAGCCAGTAGGATCACCTGACCTTCATGGGGGTGGGGGGAATCTTTACCTGTTCCTTTCTTCTATAGAGATAAGGGGTCTGGAAAGCCCATTCTGAGACCAGGAGGCCTTATCAGGCACTCCAGAGAGACTTGAGATTTTAGAGGCTTCAAGCCTCAATGCCAATGGCTCACTCCTGACTTACTGATGAAGAAACCATGAGGCAGAGACCTGTCCAGGGGGGTCAAAGAGCCTGAACAGAAGTCCATGTTCCCCAATTAACACCTCTGAGCTCTTCTGGCTCCCTAGGGATGGCACCACATGAATCCATAACACTCAAAGCCTCATATTACCCACCAGACTCTCTGAATGAATCTTCGTGTCATTTGTCAACCTTTCCTGATTCTGGAACCCACATTCTGTCCTCAGTATGGTACCCAGGGCATCAATCACAGCATTGAATCTAGCTGATGCTAGTGTTGGAAGATGCTTATGAGGTGGAGTTGGACACCTTTTCCTCAGCACTCATAACCTGTCACACCCATGTGTGATGGTTTACCTCACACATCCTGGCACCTATTCCTTCCCCTTCCATGGACATGCCAATAGAGCTGGACCGTATCAGTATCCAGAGACATTTCAGCAGCCTATCTCCTCTGTGCCACTCTTTAAGTTTCCATCTTATGTTGCTGTGGTCCATTCTGTATAGCTATTGGGAAGTTTCTGGAAGGTAGACTCATGTGCTATAGAGACCAAAACATCAGGATATTGAGTTTATCTGATCAGGACTCTTGTGTAAACAAGGTGAATTCTTCCAAAACTGGCACCCAAAGATCTGAACCTTGGTGAACTCACAGAGAAAGGACACTTTGAGGCCTGGATATGTCTGAAGCCAGCCCTCTGCTTGCTATCAACACCCTGGTCTTGATATGCCCTTTCTCTCAAACATATGCAGCATCTACACCGCCCTTTTAAGATTAGTGGGGAAATTAAGTTTGCTCTCTAGTGGTAATAATTTTCTGGAACACTGTTTTAAGAAAGATGCTGAGGAGGTATTAAACTTACTGGAAAAGAGTGCTGTGATGAATTAGCTGTTTGCCATGGATAATGTGAGGGGAATGTAGGGAAGAGGGTGAGGAGAAAGGAAGTATGGAAATGTGGCAACAAGAGAGAAAGGTGGTGGCTCAGAACTATTTTTGATCTTCTAGTTGGTGTCACATACACCGGTTGTTGGATTTTGTTTGGGTTGAACTTTTCATTGCTGTTGGACATTTGTTACGCTTTTGGAGCTATGAAATAATGCATCATTTTTTCAATTGAAAGGTCACAATTCTTTTGGTATCATTTGGGTGTTTGATATCAGCCATCACCTGCAAAACACCACTACTCCTGGAGCAAAGAATCAAATCCAAGAAGCCAAAACCCAGCTTCATAACTCACTATAGGAGTGGTCTCAGGTGAGCCACTTTTCTCTGGGCTTCAGTGTCCTCTGTCAATGTCTAGACAAATGGGTCACTTAGTTACCAAGGATTGGTTAATCTGACTAGTTTCATTGGATTGGGAAGCATGTCTTGAGAACTTCTTAGTGACATTAGAATTATCAATATAAAACTCCACTGTGGACAGAGCTTCGAAACTGCTAGTCTGTAGAACCTTCAGCAAACAAAATGGTTTTTTCCTTCAATAAATGGAATAAGACAAGGCAAGGGTGGTTTTGTGGAGGAAGCAGAGCATAAAGAAGACCTTGAAGGGTAGATATAAATTAGGCAGGAAAAGGAGGAACAGAGGGCCAGTGTTATGACAGAGTATCCAGAAAGCAGCATGTGCATTGGAAGAGAAAGGATGATCATGTTAGCTATGTTGTGGAACATCGAGAAAATCAGACAAAAGAAGTTAAGTATTATACTGCTGGCAATAGGGAGCCACATAGATTGTCGAGCAGGAGAGAGAGTCATAGGGCCTAGGAGTTGAATGACAATGTATAGAAGAGAGAGAGAGAGAGAGAGAGAGAGAGAGAGAGATCAAAAGCAGAGAAATTGATCAAATAGACATGCAGTTATGAGTATGCGGCATGAGTGAAAATGGGGAAGGAGAGAACCACTGAGGTGTGACCATAGTAACACATGAGCTGCTCTAGACTTTAGATTCTCCTTAATCTCTTTCTTCAAAGAGTTTAAATTGTGATTAGGAGGATGAAGTCTATCTTATTGCAGGGTTACAGTGACTCATGCAGCCGTGTGTGTGTGTGTGTGTGTGTGTGTGTGTGTGTGTGTGTGTGTGTGTAAATTAGAAAAATTAGAGCTTCCAAGTAGTCTCAGGGAACTAGCTTCATCTTTATTCTGTCCATCTCTCTCCTCAGTCTAGATATATTGGGAAGAATCCAGGGCAGGGATTGCACTTTAATTTCCTGAAGGAAAAGGAGCCATGTTTTTTTTTAAAAATGCATTCTAGAGTACCTGACCCCAAGTCTTTATTTTCAAAAGAGTAAATTGGCAGACCAAAAATAGATCCCAAATAGAAAAATAAGATTTAGGGAAATGACTCTACACTGGAAGACCAGACATAAAACAAATCTACAGGATTTAGGTCCTCTAGGGTCATAGCTGGGTCCCTGGCTGTGTGTCTGCCCAAAAAATCTCATCCTTCCTCTATCCTCTCCTTCCCCAACTCTAATATTCAATGCTGCAGTTGATTATAGAATTGTGTTTGAAAACGGCAGCAAAACACAACTTCGCTGAAATACCAATTCCTCTTACATATCTCTCTCTCTCTTTCTCTCTCTCTCTCTCTCTCTCTCTCTCTCTCTCTCTCTCACACACACACACACACACACACACACACACACAAGTTCCAGAAATTACAAGTCATAGTTCAAAGCTTAGCTTCCTTGTGAGAAAATATATGCCAAAAAATGTAGGTCAAAATGTAATCATAGAGAATTGGATGTAGGGAAAAAAAAACCTCAAATTATTTACGATGTGTCACATAAAAAAAATGTCATTCTGGCATAGTAACTAGCAAATTGCCTTGTGATGTGTGGGTGTGTCCACAAAGAGTGTGTTGGGAGGAATAAGAGACTCCAGGAGCCGGAGGAGGGATGACAAATGGGTATTGATGGGAGGTTCCAGATGCTCCGTGTATTGGAGATTGCTAGTGATCTCCAGAGGGCATCAATTCACCTCCAGGAGACAGGGAAACCTGTTCCCAGCCTGAGCAAGGCAACTTAGAAAAATTGTCTAGAAATGAGCCTGTTAGAGTAAAGGTTGATTTTCAGTAAGACTCTATCATTTCTCCCCTTCTGAAAGCTGTCTGAGATGGTTTGGGTTTGTTTTATTCCCCTCAGCAAGATGGCAATAAAGCTTCGGGATTGTATTTGACAGGTGGGCTCCTCTACAAAGCCTTTTTTGCCCCTGATGTTTCAGTGGTTGGCGTTTTCTGTGCGTTAGAGAGCAGTGGATGCCTGAGTACTCTGTGGCATGACTCTCAGGGGAGCAGGAGGGGGTGGGGGGAGATTCTGAACAAATCAGTCTGACTCATAAAGTTCCTTTAGTATCTGAATCAATGGCAGGGGCCTCATGCCAGGAGCATGGTCTGTTAAAACAGAATGGTGGCCATCCTTGAGGTCAGGGACTGCACCTGGATATGCTTCCAAACATTCTCCAGTGTGAAGCTACCAGCCCCAGGACATTGGATAAGGCTCGAAGAGAAGGTGAGAGCAGTAGGTCTACCCCCACGGAGCATGCCACGAGTTTCTCAGCATTAAGGTTCTGAAGCAAAGAACTTCCAATCCATATCCACCACCCAGAAAAGATTTTGCCAAAAGGAAACACACACACACACACACACACACACACACACACACACAGCGCTCTTCAGGTGGGGCTGATGTGACCAGAGTCCCTCTGCTATAAAACATCACCTGGTGCTGACTGACCCATGCCATGCCACACTTCCAATTTTCTATTTGTGCTGTAATATTGGGGGTTGGGAGGAGCTCTGAAACTAATTATAAAAAAGGGAGTGATTGTGGATAAAGTGGGTTTGGGGCTCTAGAATGCACAGCCTCACCTCCCAGCACCTCTGGAGTTTGAGAACAAGTCATGTAAAATAGCAGCCACCAAAAGAAGTCCCGTCACCAAACTCTCCATAGCCAATGACTCACTCTCTTTCTCTCTCTCATCAATGGTTTTTCCTGCCACTCATGTGGCATTTCTGGGCTCCCATTTAGCTGGCCTTGGGGGGGCTGATCAACATCTATAAACTTCCTTATTTAGCCATGTCACACTGGCCACACTCAGCTCTTTCACCCAGCATCTCTGAGGACTCCACGCAATTTGGCTGTTACCTTTGCCAGCCCATAGAACACTTGCCTTTATTGCAATATTTATCAAGTTCTTAATGCTTACAATGAGATATATTATTTTTAAATAATTCATACTATGAAATTCCCAATAATGTTCACTCTACTATTCAAAGATCTATTCATTTACTCAACAAAGAGTTCTGGGTGCCAACAGTATAGCAGCTGCATGGGTTTTTGTTTTTTAATTTATTTTTTATTGACTCACAGTGAGACACAGTTACAGAATTGTTCATGATTGGGTGTTAGTCATACAGTGCTCCAACACCTGTCCCTTCACCAGTGTACATTTCCCACCACCAATGTCCCTAGTTTCCTTCCCTCCCACCCCACCCCCCATCCCCACCTCCTATCATAGAGGCAGGCACTTTCCTTCTCTCTCTGTCTCTGACTCTCTCTCTCTCTCTCTTTCTCTCTTTCTACCCCCCCCCCACTACTTTCTCTCTCCTTTGGGGCATTGCATGTATATCCCTTTACCTACTTTCAACACTCATTTCTTGTCCAGAGTGATCATTTCCAATTATTACTAGAAACGGTCCAATTAATTCCTTCTCTATCCTAACTGCCTTCGCCCACACACATATGTAGCAAGCTTCCAACCACTGACCAGTCCTCCTGGCCTCTACATATTAAGAGCGAGAAGTGCTAAGGTGAACAGCTCTACCTGGACTGTCACAGACCTCAGTGTCTGTGGAAGTGACAGACCCCACACTAAACTGACACCCAATTAAATCAGGGTAGGTGCTGGGAGGACCAGGTGTGGCCCAGATAAGGAGATTTGAACAGAGAGACACAGACCAGGATGTGGCCTGGCAGGAGGTGCTGAGATGCGAGAACCACAGTTATTTTCCAGAACATTTCCGCAAGCATTATCTCATCTTCATAGCTGCCTGAGAAGGAAGTGACAGTTTCCCTCCCAAACATCTGCCGTCCTTCTCTCTACAGGCTCTGCCTATAAGGTCTGTGTGTTTCTCTGGGGGGGCCAGGCCTGCAGGGAGGAAACAGTCATTGTAATCCCATGACTTGCAAACTAAGTGATTTCCAGTGTTTCAACAATAGGATCCTTTCTCCCCACTATGGAACTAATGGTACTTGATTTCTAGAACATTCAGGGCTGATGTGTTGATGATATTCTTTACTTGGAAGGTTTCTGGCATTGTTAGGGGGCTCAGCAGCACTCAACCAACTGGGTGGGGCAGTTCAGTGGGCAGTGCAGAGGGTCTGAGGATGGAACTTGGGTCATCATGCTTGTGAAGCACAGGATCCTGACCACTGAGCTATCTGGTGCTCCCACCCCATGACGTTCTTGAAATTACCTTTACTCACAGGTGCGCCCTGATCTGGTAGAGCTCACTGGCTGCCACTTCGGCTTTTGGCATCTTTAAAGCCTGACCTAGTTGACGATGTTATCTCCAGCCTTCTGGTCATCTCTTCCCACACCTTCACTCCCAGCGCTTAACCAGCCTTATGAGACATCCCCTCCTCGGGGTCCAGGGCCCCGTGGAACCAGCACCACACACATAATACCCAGCACCAAGCCCTCCAGACCACATTTGCAGCTACCTGCCCTTCCCCAATGCAGCCCCAAGGGGAGCAGAAAAGCAAGAGTGGGCGAGATGTGTGCTCCTGTTTTCGATAAGCTAGAGGGCTGGACCCTGCCCACTCCACATCCTGTGAGCTGGTGGCTGGGTGAAAGGCAGGGGCAGGGCAGGAAGGCCAGGGGTCCTGCAGCCACCTGAGAGCTGGCCACCTCTGCTAGCCAGGGCACCTGTGAGCCCTGTGCAGCATTGCTGTGACCGACAGCTACATGAGTCAGCTGAGCTGCCTTCTCTGGCCCCACCAGGTGGGCTGAAGTGAAGGTCAAACTACCCCGCTGTGCCACATGGGTGGCTACCAGCAGGTGAGGAGCAGGCCTGGGGACTGAAGCTTGGCTTGGGGATTACGGCCTGCTCTGTCCAGGGAGGAATGCTGCCCCTCAGGTCCTGCCTTCCCCAACCCTGTCCTCCAAGGTGCCCCAGGTCAGGTTGATGATCAAGGGGTCTCTGAAGGGGTCTCTCCAGCTTCAAGGTTAGGGCTCGATGCAGAAACAAAAGTTTCTCCCTGGGAGCAGAGCGACAGTAGAGGAGGTGGGTGCTTGCCTTGCATGCATCTGACCCAGGTTTCGTCCCTGGCCTCCCATAAGCTCCCCTGAGCCCCACAGGAGTGACCCAGAACCAAGAACGCACTTTTGCCTCCGAGTCCCACCCTAAGCTCAGAGCCATGAGAGTGAACCCTGAGCACCACCTAGTATGGCCCCAAACCAAAGTCAGCTCCTTTGGTCCTGGGATGCAATGACTGGCAGAGCACTTGCGCTGGGACGCAGTCATTGTCAGAGCACTTGCCCTTCATGTATAAGGCCCTGGCTTTAATCCCTGGGCCACACACACACACACACACACACACACACACACACACACACACACACCAGAGGAAACAGTTCATTTTTTTAATGAGCCTGCGCTATTTAGGTTCAGGTATTTTATTCATGGTCACCATCACGGTCCTCCCATTGTTCATCAATTTGCTCGAGCGGGTCCAGTAACGTCTCCATCATGAGACTTGTTGTTACTGTGTTTGGCATATTGAATACGTCACGGGTAGCTTGCCAGGCTCTGCTGTGCGGGTGAGATACTCTTGGTAGCTTGGCTCTCCGAGAGGTGCGGAGGAATTGAACTCAGGTATTTTATTACTATCTGCTTTATCTGGGGGTCTTCCCACGTGGTGCCAGGAGATCTGGGGGACCATCCCAGTGATACTCAGTCAACAGCACTGGCAGTCCAATGTACAGACCTGAGGGTGCAGTGCTGCTGTGGGTCAGGGTTTATCACTCAGACTACCAGTTCTCGGGGCTTCCATGAGCACAACACAGAGATCAGGGTACCACAGAGTGCTGGATAAAACCAGGGTTGGCACATTCAAGCCCACACCTTAACTCCTGTAAATTCTCATGTGCCAAAATCATTGAACACACACATGCACCCAGACATACACTTGCATACACATGCATGAACACATACACATGCATGTACACACATGCATTAATGATATGCACACGCATATACACACATGCACATACACACTCAAAACACATATGCACGTGTATATATACACACTCACATGCATGCACATATACCCACATATGCACATGCAAATATACACGCTTATACACACATAACACCTGATGCACACATGCTCCTGCCCAGACGTGGCGGGGGGTGCAGGAAGAAGTCGGAAGGAGTGTGTGGTCAAGGAGGCAGACTCGGCCCACCAGCGCGGGGTCGGAGGACAACCAGCCTAGCAGACTCTGGCAGGGCGTGGGTGAACGAGGCAGGTCCCCGGAGGTCCCAGGCAGCCTGGCGCAGCAGGGGCTGGCGTGATGCGCGCAAGGGCCGCTCTGTCTCTGCAGCTTCTGCGCTGGTTTCTGGCTCGGCTCTCGTGGGCGCAGGCCGGATGGCCCACTCACCCGGCTGGTTTTCCCCCCGCAGGTGGAGAGCAGCAGGCCGCAGCCAGCCCGAAGGCTGATGAGGGTTCGGGGGCTGCACGCCCCAAGCCCAGGACCGTGTTCCACATCGAGTCCATCCGCAGGAGGAGCAAAGGTGCGTGTTGCTTCCCGGCCCCCATGGCCTGGACCTGCTCTGAGCATTGAGCACTGAGCACTGAACACTGCGGCAGCCCACTTGCCTGGGGGCCACTGGACACACGGGCAATGACGGGGATGGGGGGAGTTGAGGGGGCAACCCAGGATGCATGCTGTGGGCGCATTCATTCCTGGGGGCCTCAGGGTGGGGAGGAAATTTCGCCCAATGTCTGGGGCTAGAGAGGAGAAGAAGTCTGGTTCTGCACTCCCAGACTCAGGGAGCGGGTTCGCCTGCCCAAAGTTCCGCAGTCAGGATGGGAGCTGAAGGCGGTGAAGCTGGACCCCAGGCCACTGTCTTGATCACCCAGAAAAGGATTCGTGACTTTCTTCCTCCTGCTCCTCCCAGCATCCCCTACCCTTCAATCCTCTTAGAGAGGCTGGTGAGGCAGAGGAGGGAGGCCACAGCAAAGCAGCAGGGAGAGAGGTGAGCAGGGTTTGCAAGAAAGGGTTTTTGCAGAAGCCGGGGTCCATCAGGGAATCACACACTGGCCTCCAGGTCTAGAAAAATCCCTCACTTTCTTTCAGAGCTAGTTCCCCCCATTAATTGACTTTTGAAAAGGATAACCACTGCCATTCACCATCTCCGCTCCTTCCAAAATGAAAACCCGGCACCTGGGACGCAGCCCTCCTCCTGGGGCTTAGATACTAAAAACACTCAAAACGCAAACTAGAACCTGCCTCCTATTGTGAAAACGGGGCGCTCAGAGGCCGGCCTGTCATTCTCACAGTTCACCACAGGAGGGAGCCAGAGCACCAAAACCGTGCAAGAGTTTTCAAGAATTACAAGGACAGGCTGAAATATTTTTTTAAGCCATAACGTAGACAGCACTTAATCCAACTATAAGTTACTGAGAAATAATTCCGATTCAATGGCATGCATCCAAAAGGTACCAGAACAAACCAAAGTCATGGGGTGGAGGGGAAGGACGGGGGTGGGGGGGGTGTCAAGCATCATGGTCAAATTTAAACCCCACAATTACATAGCTCAAATATACTTTAAAAGAAAAAAACCCTCATCGTTCCAACCCACCCGAGGGAGCCCCAAATCAAAGTGAAATTCCTGTTGGACGTGAGACCATTGCAAGAAGCTCCTGATGTCCTGGGATGCTTCGGGTGGGTTAGAAAGAAGGAAATTTCTAAGAACCAAGAAAATAGATTACAACCTTGCAAGAAATGTGCTTCTCAGGGCTCAGGGCAAAGAGGTGGGGCTGCTAATGGACTGTGCTCCCCACTGCAGTGTTCGGGAAAGGCGAGCACCTGGAGAAACAGGCCAAAGACTCCTTTCCCTATCACTACCGCAAGGCCACAGTGGAGCTGCTGGTGAGTGATGGGGGCTACAAATGAGGGGGTGGGCTGGGGACAGCGCACCCCACACCCTCGTCTGCGACACCCCTCTTTTGACCAGGCTGGTTTCCTGAATCTGTATTTGCAGACACGTAATTCCCCGGGGTTCAAAAATAACTCTTCTTGACAGTTTATGAAGTTTCCGCTTCCCTTTTTTAAAAAAAAATTATTTCTGTTCCATCCTCTGTGGAACCAGCAGCATGCCAGATTTTCAGAAACTGCATCCTGTCCACGTTCAAACAGGGTAGTGACAGCTTTCCATGGGGTGGCAGGGTCCCTCTCAGCATCATTCCTCCTGGGGGTAAATCTCCACTCGGCCAGTCGGCCCTGGCCTGTGTGAGAACCACTCCCTGCCTGAGCCCTCGGCCAAGAATGAGGACACAGATAAACGTCTTGCACCTCTCGGTGCTCGCCCCTGCGATAGGGGCGGTGACTCTTGTCACCCAACACAAAAGCCTGGGCAAGGTTGCTCGGGCCGGAGCTGATTAACCCTTGTACTCAATGCGGCATGAGAATCTGAGCGTGCTTGTGCGTGTGAGAAGCACTGTGGGAGGTGGGGACTTGGAGCCCCTGCCTTGTCCCCGGACAGGACCTGGAGACCATGGAGGAGAGTTCGGAGATAAAGGTGGGCGCCCACCCCGCCCGGACCAGCGGGCTGCAGAGCGCCGCGGCTGCCTGCGGCAAAGGGCTCAGCAGAGTGCTGGGTTACGTCACCGGGGAGATGAAGGAGTGTGGGGAGGGACTGAAAGGTAAGAGTTTGCGCCCACCCGGGGTATATGGGGGGGCACGGTACTCCGGGTGTGGGCAAGGGGCTGTTCGAGGGGCTCCGGCCCAGGCCTGGTGGGGACCCCACTTCTGAGCATTGCGGGCTACCAGTCGTGCTGGGGGCAGTGCTCAGACCTGCTGCCGCTGGGGTTCTAGCAGGTGCCAGGCTTCCCTAGGGCTCTGGGGGCAGTGGGGACGGTCTTCTGGGTACCCCCTGAGTGTTCCCCAACCAGAGCGTGACTCTTTCCCCACCCCAAGTTCCCCGGTCGGGCTCTGTCAGCTGAAGACTCATATCAGAGTGCTCATGGCACCTCTGAACATGGTCTGAAGCTCACTGAGGCCCACAGCTAGTGGACAGTGGGGGCGGGAAGCTCTGGGACAGGGCCGGTTCAGCATGACCACTTTGGCTCCCTGCCACCCCACGCTGCATGCCGAGGTTGGAGCCTTGCAGCTCTGCTCCCTGCCTGTGCCTCCCACCACCTCTCACCTCTGGTACCGTTGCAGACAAATCCCCAGTGCTCCAGTTCCTGGACTGGGTGCTCCGGGGCACCTCCCAGGTGATGTTCGTCAACAACCCCCTCAGCGGCACCCTCATCATCATCGGCCTCTTCATCCAGAATCCCTGGTGGGCCATCTCGGGATGCCTGGGCACCATCGTGTCCACTCTGACCGCCTTGGTTCTGAGTCAGGACAAGTAAGTGCTAGGAGACCCCAATCCTGGCCTGTGACCGCCTTTCCCCTCCCCTTACTGCCACAAGAGGGCGCCCTTCCCCTTCCACCCCTCACTGCCAGGCTCCCTCCAGCCACAAGAGGGCGCCCTTCCCCTTCCACCCTTTACTGCCAGATTCCCTCTGGCCATAAGAGGTCGCCCTTCTCCTTCTACCTCTCACTGCCAGGCTCCTTCCAGCCACAAGAGGGCGCCCTTCCCCTTCTAGCCCTTACTGTCAGGCTCTCTCCTGCCACAAGCGGGCGCCCTTCCCCCTCGGGCCACAAAAGGGCACCTTTCCCCTTCCACCCCTTATGGCAAGGCTCCCTCTGGCCACAAGAGGGTGCCCTTCCACCCCTCACGGTCAGGCTCCATCCTGCCACAAGGGGGCGCCTCTCCCCTTACACTTCTCATTACCAGTCTTCCAGTCCCCAAATCTCTCAAGCACAAGCTCCCCATCACTACCCCTCAAGCTCTGGTCTCTCTTGACCATTGCATAGAGGGAGGGTTGGGGGTGAGAGCAGGGATGACCCCTGATCTCCCCTTCCCAGAGGGGCCACCCATGGCTTTGGGAGGCCCAGCTAAGAAAGCTCTGACCCAGAAGGAAAGCAAGAAGACTGCCCATGGGTTGGTCACGGGGGACCCCCTCCATTTCATCTGCCCCCTCCACCCACCCAGGTCGGCCATCGCGGCCGGACTCCACGGCTACAACGGGGTGCTGGTGGGGCTGCTCATGGCAGTGTTCTCCGACAAAGGCGACTATTACTGGTGGCTTCTACTCCCCGTCATCGTTATGTCCATGACTTGGTGAGTCTTCTCCCGGGGCTGCACGTGTGGATGGGGATTGTGACCAGTTTAGGTCAATTCTGTGACCATCCTCCTAAAGCCCAGATAGAGAGCAGAGAGGTGGGTGAAGATGGGGCGGGGGCGGGAGGGAGGGGGACATAGGGTCGTGATAGGGGCGGTGGACACTATGACAGTGCAGTAGCTTTGTACATCGGTGTCCCAGTGTACCCACTCTTGCACCATGATGCCTAGTGTATAATAAAAATGTTTTAAAACTAAAAGTTACAGGTTCTGGAGAGATAGTGAGGTGGATAAAGCCCTTGCCTCCCAGGCAGTCAACCCGGGTTCAATCTCCAGTACCCCATTAAAAGTTGTATGTAAGGGGCCAGAGCGACAGTACAGTGGGTTGGTCCTTGCAAACAGCCGACCCAGATTCAATCCCCAGCATCCCATATGGTCCCCTGAGCACTGGCGGGAGTAATACCTGAGTGCAGAGCCAGGAGTAACCCCTGAGCACCACCGGATGTGACCCAAAAAGCCAAAAAAAGAAAAAGTTGTATGTAAATAATATTGATAAGCTCAGTATTTGGAGCATTCAGTGGTCACTGTGCCAGGATTGTGCTAGCCAGCTCAGAAAAGGTGCCCAGCAGGCAGGAAGTGTCGCATCTCCAACCTGTGCCTCTGCCCTCAGCCCCATCCTCTCCAGTGCCCTGGGTACTGTCTTCAGCAAGTGGGACCTGCCTGTCTTCACGTTGCCCTTCAACATCGCTGTGACCCTGTACCTGGCAGCCACAGGCCACTATAACCTCTTCTTCCCCACCATGCTGCTGCGGCCGGCGGTCTCCGTGCCCAACATCACCTGGTCGGAGGTGCAGGTGCCCTTGGTAAGTGTCTTGGAGGGGACGGGTCAGCGCCTGCCTGAAAAGGAGGCTGGGAAGGCGCCTGGCCTGACATCGCACAGAGACGCACCCTGGTGTGTACAGCATGTATGCATATGTAAGTGGCACTGTGTGTTTGTGCATGTTTGTGTGGATGCCTATGCATGTGTGTTTGCATGTGTGTATGTGTTTGTATACTGTATGTTTGCATCTTTGTGTGTTTGCCTCTGTGTGCATTGTGTGTGTGTGTGATGTGTGCATGTATCTCTGCATGTGCATGCATGTGTGTCAGCAGTGCTGTGCCCAACTCCCTGGCCTGGGTCCTTCTTAGCTGCCATTCCTTTCTTTGTCTCGCCCTATCACAGCACAGAATGGGAAACTGATCCCAGGATCTCAGAGCCTGATAAGGGAGACTCAGAATCGGAGACCCAGGAGGTGGCTTAAAGGGCTGAATGCCACTTTGCATGTCGGAGTCCCAGAATCAGTTCCCGCATGGTCTGCAGACTGGCCGCCATGTCCTCTTGTCCCCACCCTACCTGGTGCTCTGGCTGCTGATTTCTAGGGCTGCCTTCCTTCCTCTCCTTTCCAGGGTCCTTCGGCTGCTTTCCCCCTTTGAGTCCAGCAGATGCTGACCATTTGCCTTCATCCTGTTTTTTTGTTCACCCTTGTTGCCCAGACGTGCATCCCCCTTGACCACAGCTGCTCCATGAAGCAATATATGCCAGCGCTGGGCAGTTAGGCAGCAGTTAGGGCACAGCCCCTGCCCACAGCAGACCCTGGGCCAGTCCTGGCAAGACATGGGTCCCTGGGCACCACTGGATGCAAACGTGGAGCTCTTTAAGCCCTAGTGGGGTGACTGCAGTCATTCCCCAATACCACAGGGGCCAAACAGCACCTCATTCTCAGGGTTCACTGACCCACTTGGCTAAGCACCAAGATGGGGAAGTGAAAAGGGGAGGTCTGTTGCACACTGCTTGGGAAGCCCCACCTCAAAAAAAGAAAAAGAAAAAGAAATACATGTCTCAGGGGCCCTGAGTGACTCTTGCCTTGCATGTGGCCAATTCGGGTTTGAGCTCAGGCACCCTATGTGGTCCCCTGAGCCCACCAGGAGTACTTCCTGAGGGCAGAGCCAAGAGCAATCCCTGAGCAATGCCAGGTGTGCACTCCCGCCCGGAAGGAAGGAAGAGAGGGAGGAGGGAGGGAAGGAGGGAGGGAGGGAGGGAGGGAGGGAGGAAGGGAGGAAGGAAGGAAGGGAGGAAGGAAGGAAGGAAGGAAGGAAGGAAGGAAGGAAGGAAGGAAGGAGAGAAGGAGAAGAGAAGGAGGGAGAAGAAATACCTGTCTCAGAGCTTCCTGGTTCATTATTGAGAAAGTTTTCATACATCTCATGGCCTCTGAGTGCCCGGGAAACCCATAGCTGTACTGAAACCATTCTGCCCCTTATCTCAGTGGCCCAGGCTCTGCCACGCCCTCGCACTGCCTGCTACAGCTGCAGGCACTTCCACCCACAGAGTTGGGCATGGGGGTTCAATCCAGCCACCCCATCAGCTGCAGATCAGCGCCTCTTGGGAAGTTTAGGAGCCTGAATGAAAGGGGCTTCAGGGGCCAGAGGAGAGACCAGGTGAGGAGTTGGCCTGCCCCTCCCCCCGCCAAGCTCCCCTTGGGAACCAGACACCACTTGGGGCATTCTAAGTCAAGACTTCTCAGTGGGCTTCAGGACAGGAAGCCGTTTCCTACTCTCCGGGCCACGTTTCCCATCACAAAGATGCCTCAGAATTTGGTGGAAATGAAAGCAGTTGGGCAATCTGACACCAATCATTTAGAACCCGCAAGTTCCAGCCAGGAACTTGTCCATTTAGGGGTGCTGCCTCTGGGGGAAAGAACTTTCTGGCCCGTGGAAAGAATCATGGTGCCCAGTGACGTTTTGTCTTTCTTGCTGTCACCTTGCGTTTGGAGGAGGAAGTGGCAAATCAGTGTCGGAGAGGTCTTAAGCCGCAGCAGTTGTGGAGGGTTCTCAGCTCTGCCTTGTGGCCACTGGAGAGCCTCCCCCGCCCCAGGCCTCGCTGCAAAACTCCCACAGCCACCCCCTGGCCAGGGTGGGCCAGGACCACCCTGTTCTCTGTTCTGGGGTAACAAACAGAGCATTGAGCTCAGGTCACACACTAGACCTGTCTCCCCCAAAATGGGCATCGACCCCTCAAGTGCCGCTGAAATGACAAGAGGGACAGCAGTAGCGCTGGGAGCCATGGGAGGTCACTTTCTGTTTGGGTTTGTTTGCTGCAGGAAGGTGGGTTTCCAGAGGGCACTGAGTGATGATTTTTCTGAAGGGGGGCAACAGGCCAGATAAGTGTGGGAACTTCAGCAGGGCAGCACCAAGCCTAGGGGCCCTCCAGAGCAGCTCTAGGGTTCTCATGCTCCCCACGAATTCTCAAGGGCAGAGTCCTCAGAGGCTGGGGCCAAGACCTGCATCATCACGATGAGTCGGGCCAGTCCCCCGCCCCCACCCCCAAGCAGAACACTCCCCTGGCACTGGCCATGGGGTTGCTGCTGAACCCCAAAACAGTTCCCACTGCTCTCAGGGCCAGAACCCCCCCCCCCCACCCACCAAGCCCAGAGGTGTTGGCCTTGGAAACAAACCGTCCTTCCACCTAGCAATTTAACCCTTGAGTTCTTTTAAATTTGAAAAAAGAATTGCAAGAAATTTCAATTCCCAATTTTGATGGAGTCTTTATTTCCCCATTATTCTTCCCTCAGCAATAACACTGTTAGCCAAGTCCCAAGTCTCTTGGCCAGATTGAGCCTGCGCTCACCTTCCCAATAAAGGAGACTGTGCACCCGTCATGTTCCTCTGAGAACAGAAGACAGAAGCAGTTCAGCTCTTCATACCCATTAACATCTGAGACTCGACTGGGAACTTTTATTTTGCTTTTGGGTCACACCTAGTGATGCTCAGGGGTTACTCCTGCCTTAGTCCTCCTTGGAATTACTCCAGGCAGTGTTTGGGAATCATATGGGATGCCGGAGATCAAACCTGGGTAGGCAGCACGCAAGGCAAATGCCCTCCCCGCTGTACTATCACTCTGGTCCTGTCAACTGGAAACTTGTTCAAGATGCAAATGTGGACTGCCTGGTTCTCAAAACTGTTGTCTTTTGCCTCCATACAGTAACACAATCCCTTATCCATGGGGGTGCCTTCTACAACTCCCAGCGGATGCCTGAGACCCTGGAGAGTACCCCAACTTGTAGGCACATTTTTTTTATATACCTCTGCTAAGCTTATTTGGTCAATTCAGCTCAGTGAGAGGCATCAGTAAGTTCTAATGAAACAGAACAATGATGGTTCCGCGGTGACTGAAGCACAATGTCCTCTTGTTGTATGGCATCGTATGGCGTAGGCTATAATGACCTGTACCTGCCCACTCTAATGACCTGTACCCCTGCTGCACCCACAGCTCCTGAGAGCCATCCCCGTCGGCATCGGCCAGGTATATGGCTGTGATAACCCCTGGACCGGAGGCATCTTCCTTGTGGCTTTGCTCCTGTCTTCACCTCTCATTTGCTTGCATGCGGCCATTGGGTCCACCATGGGGATGCTAGCAGGTCAGTGTCCTTCCTTCCTTCTGCCTTCCGTGGGGGCCATCAGAGCTCCACCTGGACACACCACACACCACAGAGCTCGTCCTTCACAGCTGGGTCCCAAGTCTGGCACGGGTCTCTTCCCAGTAGGCTGTCTCTCAGGGCTTTGCTCTGATCATGCCCAGGATTTGTTCTCAGCAGAGAGCAAGGAGAGCGATGAAGGAGGGGTCTTGTTTACTATGTACTTGGGGGTGGGGGGGAACAGGTTGCTAAATCAGCCTGCGGAGCTCCTCCCAGGATCCTTCACTCACCCCAGGGAGCTTCAGAACCCTGTGCTGCTTCTAGATGCCTTCTGCTGGGTAAAATCACACAATCTTGCTTTGTGACTTTGTGTGTGTGTGAAATAGAGGTTCCATCAAAACTGGGACTTAAAAATTCTCTTGCAATTTTTATTTTCAAGTTCAAAGTTTCAAGTTCAAAGACCAAGTGGATAAATGGTAGTAGGGGGGAGGAGGATACGACCCCACATGCCTGTGCTGGGTGTGGGAGACCTCCAACCCCCCACCCTGATGCCAGCCTTCTCCTGCAGCACTGACCATTGCCACACCCTTCCACTCCATCTACTTCGGCCTGTGTGGCTACAACAGCACGCTGGCCTGCATCGCTGTGGGTGGCATGTTCTACGTTCTCACCTGGCAGACACACCTCCTGGCCATCGCCTGTGGTAGGTGCCGCCCCCCAACCTCAGAGGGGGTCTTTGCAGTGCTCCCTGTGACCCGCGGGGGGAGGGGGCAGAAGAGTTTCTTCATTTTGATGTCGGGGGCCCCACAGGTGACTCGTGAAGTGGGGAGGAAAAAGATGGTCACTTTCTCCAATCCTCCTCTGCCACCTGGAACCCAGGGTTACTGGGTTCTTGTCTCACCTTGCAAAAAGAAATTTCAGAAGTAGACAAGCAATGAAATTACATAGTTTTTGTTTGGAGGCTTTGAAGGGAAGGAGGGAGAGAAAGTGGGAGAGAGTGGAGAATAATGTGCTCAAGAGAGAACCTGAGCTTTTCCAAGGGCAGAGAGCGCCCCCATACACATCCCAGCATTAGACACGAAAGCATGCAAGTGCACATCTCAAGAGGGGAGATGCAAGTGACATATGTGCTCAGGCACTACATGTGCTTGGCCACTCAGGCACAAGCAGCACATGGGCTCAGGCAGCATATGCATGCCCTTCCTTTGTTAAAGGTGGCCTTTATAGGGTTTCTCCAACCTGCCCCCATGTGGGGCTTCTACCTATGTCAAAGTCTGTTGCTGAGGAAGTTAAGTGGGAAATTGGGAGTAGTGATAGTCTTCTTTGAAATTCCTTTCCTGGCCTTTTGTTTCTGCAGGAGCTTCTCTGAGTCTGTTGCTGTAGATGGGTCTTATCAGGCCTTAGCTCCTATTTCTTCCTGTTTTCTTCTGAGGGTCATATCAGGCTCTCACAGCAACTTCTGGGCTATTTCTTCCCAGAAAATTTTGCCATTGCCTTGGGAGGGGGCCTTCCCTATCCTGCCTACATCAATTTCAGCTGACTTTACCCTCTCGCAGTCTCACACCTGGTCAGTGCCCCCCCCCCCCCGCCCCCGGCCGACATCTTTAGGACATACTGTCCTCACATGGCTTGGGCTCTGGTTCCATTCCAATCTAGAGATGCAACATGAGCCATGCCGATGATAACAGAAGGGACTGGGCTTGAACGAGCATCTGCTCTCAGAAGCCTCTGATGCTGGTTCCCTGAAGTGGGGCAGGGTGGGGGTCTGTGTCCTGGATCTTGGGCCTCTGTATCTGGGGTTCCAGAACCTTGTCGCACCAGGCGGGAAATGACAAGCCAGCACATCTGTGGGTCCAAAGGCAGTCGTTCATGAAACAAATCCATGTTCTTTCTGAGAAAGGCTGAGTGGATGAGGTTGAGGGGAATGTGCATTTCCACAGGCAAGCTGTAAATGCCCAGCTTTGTTCAGAGGGTTCTCTGCGGTTCTCAGGTGGCAGCCCCCTTCCCCAGCCACAGTTAGTGGTGACTGATCATGTCATCACCCTGAGTGGGGAGGAAGATGTTTCCTGCTTCTTAGTGGGTGCAGACTTGGGGGCTGTCCTGGTACCCAAATGACAGGAGCCACACTAGTTACCCATCCCGAATGCCAGTGATGCCTAAAGCGAAATCTTGGTCTACCCTCTCCAGTGTGCCTCCCTCCAATCTGGAGAAGTGGGCAGCGGCTACTACCAGCCCAGCTCTTTAGACTGAGAGGCCCAGTGACTCCTGCTAGGTCAGGTCTGAGCATCAAGTTCATGCTTTTTGCAGTCCCTCCCCATGTCTGTAGGAGGTAGAACTGGGTGGAGCCCTCAGGTCCTTCCCTGTGTCCACACAGCCATGATAAATAGGACAGGCAGGCTCCTTCCACTATAGCCTGCATATCCTCTGTTGACATGACTCCAATCCCTGATGTTCCTTTCCCTTCTCCTCACAAGGGAGCGTCTGTACCAACATTTAAACCATATAAGGTTTTCACAGGCTTTCCTGCTGGGTGCAGGCCCAGGGGCTGGAGGAAGAAGAGAGAATAACTCCTTTGGCTCTGTAGTTGTTAAAATAACAGTGCCAATGGGTGTGGCTCAGCAGATGGACGCCTGTCCCCATACCACCCAAACTAACAAACACACAAATTGCTGCTTAAGTCTTTTAGCTCTGGACTTCAGGAAAGGTGAACGAGCTGGATGGCGCTGGGGTCTTTTAATCCTCAGAGGCAGAATCCAGGGCATCCACTTAGGCCCTCCCATTCCATTCTGGTCATCTGAGCCCCAGAGGCATGGAGATGCCTCCCCAAGGTCCCCTATTTCTCAGCCCAGGGGAAGCCTGGCAACCCTTGACAGATCATGTGAATACATGAATCCCCCATTCCTGTCACTGACCAGTCCTGAGATCAGCGGGGTAAGAACCATCCCTGGCCCATAGGGGGCGCCTGTGAATGCTGGGTCTCTTCTCTGCCCACTGGTATACTGGATTCTGGGCTTTCGGTCCTCCAAAGAAATGAAAGCCCTGGTGTGCCCCAGAAAGCAATGTGCACCCAGACTCCAGATGACTCCTCTCGCCCCACTGAGCCCCACCTCTGTAGAAGCAAAGATTCTCCAGCTTGGGGTGGACGTATACAGTGCTGTGGCCCCTGCCTGCCCTGTCTCAGCTTTTGTTCACAGGTGGAGACTGCAGTGATGCTCAGTTTATGTGGCGGGGAAGGGTGTGGTCAGGACCAGCTGGGGGCTCCCAGAAATTCTCACCCAGTTTCCTGTGGACAGTTGGGGTATTCGGAGGCAAAATCAGGGGTTCTGAGGCAAAACCCAGCCCTACAAGCCCATTTGCTTGAGTCTCCCTGTCTTCTCCAGGCCAGCATGGCAGGGTCCTCCACACACACAGCTCAGATGCAGTAGGGGGCTGGGGCCTTCCTCAAGTTTCCAAGGTGCCTGCCAGATATCATCTGATACCAGTAACTTGTGACAAACTGTTGTAGCAAGGGCTCTGAGTCACTGGCCTTGGGATGTACATGGGATTTCCCTTTGTGGTTCATGCTGCCTAATGTTCTGTCTTAAATTGGGGGGGGGGGGGTGAAGAGGGTGTTTCTGGACATCCAGAGACCACCCTGAACATGGCTGGCCCAAGGGCACTCTACACCCTTCACCACTGCTGGATACCTGCTGGCACGAAGCATTTTTCACAGCCACCAAGCAAAGGACAAGAAACCTCGTTTTGCTTTTTTAATCTGAGAGAGCACTTGTGGCAGGTAATGTCTGAGGGGAGAGATGGAGTCTCCTTCCAAGGCACTGAGTCACCTGCCATCTCTGTTCTTTCCCCAGCTCTGTTTGCAGCGTACCTGGGGGCTGCCCTGGCTAACATGTTCTCCGTGGTGAGTTAAATATGGGCTAAGAACCCATGGAACCCATGGCAATCCACTTTCTAGGCCTCTCTCTCAGCACCCAGTGCAATGCACACCTTTCTCTGTCCCACATCAAGTCATAGGTCACCAGGGACGGGCTCCAGGAAGACGGGGGCCAAACCTCAGCCCAGAAGCCAGAGCTGGTGGCTAAGGCTAGGCGTGGTCTAAGGCCCCTTATCTGTCCCCCAGTGCAGTGTAGAGGTGATGTCAGGAGGAGCTGCCTGACCAGTCCTGACCCCAGTGACAGCACTATGGACCCTAGTTCATGAGGGGTTTCTGCTGCACAGTAGCCCCGACAGCCACCCAGCTCCCTTATCTGAATCTTTCCTGCCAAGCACCTCTGGACATGATCTCTTTATGTCTGAGTTCAAGTGATCAAGAAAGAGTCAAAGTCCAAATCCTTTGCAAAAAGGAAACTGAACTTGAAGCAGAGACTTAGCCCAGTTTAGTTCATCAAGACCAGAAAGATCTGGAATTGTGGGATGGCTGCTGCCTAAGCATACAGAAACACCCCTCCCCCACACACTCACACATTCAGGCAATAGGAGAAGGCCTGGGGCTCTGAGAGTTGGGGAGGGTCAAGCCTGGCCACACACCCCAGACAAACCATGTCTGCAATAATGGGCAGAATACGAGTGGCCGCTACATGTCCGTGGACACCACTGGCATGGCTTTATCTATGGCAGTCACCAACTCACTACTGTCACCAATGCTCCCAGTTTCGCCTCTTCCCCCCAGGCTGGGGAAAGGTGGGTAGAACAGGCATGCATTTGATATCACCAATATTTCCCTTGTGTGTCCCCCAACCCAGTTTGGATTGCCGCCCTGCACCTGGCCCTTCTGCCTCTCGGCACTCACCTTCTTGCTGCTGACCACCAACAACCCTGCCATCTACAAGCTCCCACTCAGCAAAGTCACCTACCCGGAGGCCAACCGTGTCTACTACCTGTCCCAGGAGAAACACCGAAGAGCATCGACCGTAACCAAGTACCAGGCTTATGATGTCTCCTAAATTGCCCTTCCTGAGTCACTAAAAATTCACTTTCAGCAGGTGGTCTAGGCAGCCGGCCACTTAATCTCCCCTCTCAGACCAGTGACTCCCCTCTGAGCCAACTGATCTCTACCCTAGTCCTTCCCACACACAGGGAAATGTTAGGCTAGTCACACCCCTCAGCAAGCTCTATCATAAGATCCATGACACTTAGAAAAAATAATTTATACCAGCACATCTCAACCAGGGCACCCTTTTGGGCACCCAGGATATTCCAAGGGGCCATGGGTGAAGACTGTGTCATTGAAGAGTCCTGACAAAAGGCTGGGGGAGAGGAGGTCAGTAAGGTTGGAGGCCATAGGAAGGAAACAAGGTGGAGAAGGGTCATAGTCAGGATAAGGGTGGCGGATGCTAGCTGAGACTCTCTACTCCTAACTAATTTTCTAAGAGTTCTGTTGAAGAGAAACTTAACCTGTCCTGCAAAATACACCAGAGGGCACACCACGAAAGTCGACAGAAATTGGTGATATGGTGATACAAGTCCATACTTAATGTCACACTGTGTCGGGTCAGGGTATGAGTGTTCACCCAGAAGCCAGGGGGACTGGCCCCCATACTCCATAATGCCTCACCACCTCACCACAGCCCCTCCATCAGCCTCACCCCTTGCTGGTTTCAGAGATGGGACAAACTCTAAGATCCCTTTCACCTCACAAGTATTGATTCTTCGCTTTCTCCTATAAATGGAAAAAGAAAATCAACAAAGTAATTATTTCAGGGTTAGACAGAGATGGAAGGGTGACCAGAGCAAAGAGCATGAAGTAGCTCCTTGTCTCTGGACATTGATTGTTGAGCCATGGGGAGCCATTCCCCAGAACTGAGGTAGCAGCTTAGATTCACTGGAATTGCCAACCTGCCTGCCTCCACACAGTGAAATATTTTCTGGAAATATCCTAAGATGAAAAATGATCTTGTTTCATATTTAAAGCATTTTAAGCCAATGTGTTTCCTTTTCTAAGATTCATCAATACACACTCATTAAAATATTCAGTTTGCAAGTTGGTATCAGGATTTTCTTAAAATGGGACTCATCTCCCCTGTTCAGGGATTGCCCCCCATGAGTGTCTGGAAAGAGATGAGGGTGAGTTTAAAATGATAAGAAGAGGGACTGGCATGCTTGTTTGTCATCAGAAGTTCTGAGTTTTAATCTGTCACTTAATGGTTCCTCCAGCACCACTAGGAGTGACCTTCCCGCACTGGGCTGGAGTAGTCCCTGAGCACCCACCTGGTGCAGCCCCCAAACAAACGAATGATGATACTTAGAATATTAATATCAATAATAATGTTCAGAAGGTTGAATCAGCTTACAGATGGAATGACACAGAAATGGCCTTGGTCACTGCTTTTTCCATTTGAGTTGAGATCCAGTTTTCAGTTTTTAAAGGATTTGTATTTCAGTTTTGCACCCCCAAATTACAAATTCAGCCCCTCTTAAGGAGCCAGTAGCTCTTGTTCTTTATTTACTTTTGCTACAGCACTCTTGCCCCTCAGTTCCAGGCCACAGCCAGCACTCCCCCCAAGTTTGAGAGCTGAACCTCTTTCAACAAGAAACTCCCTTCCCCCATTCCTCATACTTCCAGATCAGTGGAGTGATGAAGTGAGAGCATAGGAGGGGGGAGGAGACCAAGCAAAGGGGCCAACAACTTTTGGGGGGCAGGGGTAGTCCCTTTCATTCAAGTGCAGCATCTACTTCCAGCCACTGTCGACATTGATCTTTTCTCTGCCAGTCTCAGCTCTCTCCTGCCAACCCACGCGCACGGGGTTGCCTCTTTCTCTTTCAGATCATTCTAGCCGTTCATGACTTCTCCAGGAAAAGGGAACACCTCTCACTGGAAGCATAGGAAGGGGGATCCAATCACACTCCAGAGGCTGCCTCTGGCTGTGAGCTCACACCTTCAGGCCAGGAAGGTCTCGGCTGCATTGTCATGACCATGGAATTATGGCTCTCTGAGGAGTCCGCATCCAAGAATTCCACCAGCAGACTGTTTATGCTCACAGCTCACTCAGCTGCCCCAGAACCTCTAAGATGACACAGAACTATTAAAATATCACTTTTCCTGCATTTTCCACCGAAGTGTTCTAATCTGGTTTTATTATTGTCTGCTAACTCACCAGTTTCTCTGCTGTTCTAATTATTCCACTATCCTCACCTAGAAAGCATGCTTGAGTTGGATCAGTCCACCAGGCAAGAGGGAAAGAGATGGGAGCAGAGAACAAGTTACAAAGATGTCCACAGGGTTTCCAAAGGGTCAGCTCTTCCAACTCCAGCACCAACAGAGGCAGGAGGAAGGTAACTCTACCTGTTCCCTAGAGCTGATATGCACAAGTTCTTGTCTCTCCCAATAGCCCTTCAAGTAACACAACATTGGGAACATGACATTGGCTATGACAGGAGTGGCCAGACAGAATCAACAAACCATGACACTGGGTACTTTTCCTGGCTGGCCAGATTACTATTACTCCTGCTAAGCCACTTTGGGGTACACAGGGGAGGGGGACAGGCAAAGCACAGTAACAAGGATCCTACCCTGAGACTAGGGCCCAAAGTGTTCATTCACCAATGCCCCCAAATGCCCTTCCACCCACCAAAGGCATTTGAGAGAGTATTTTAAATCTCCTCGGGTAGAAAAAGACAGGAGGATCCACCCCCAGTGAATCCACTGAAACACTGGTAGGTGGAAACATCCAAAAAAGAAGAAAACATGTCCAAAAAATGCTTCAAGGAGCACAAGGAGCAAAGAGACCATCCAATACCTTGCTGATGTTTAATGGACTCTCCCATCACGACGAATCACGACCATCCTGTTATTCGTCGATTGCCTCGAGCAGGCCCCAGTAACGTCTCCTTCATCCTAGCCCTGAGATTTTTAAGAAAGTGCTATATATTCAAGGCTCTTTAGGAGAATGAGACCCATCACTGTTACTGGTATTTGGCATATTGGGTATGCCACAGGGATTTTGCCAGACTCTGCTGTGTGGGTAGGTTACATTCGGCAGCCTGCCAGTTTGTCCAAAGTAGGAATGAGATAATAAGATGTCATAATAAGATGTCGTGTGGCCACGAATGTGGCCGTGCGGTTCCAGGAGCTGGTTTTTATAGTCTCTGAGTCTTGGCTGTTGATGGGATTACACGGCGACAGGGGGCCTGTTAGTGGGTGTGATCCCCGCCTACAGGACTCTCCCATGCACACCTAAACACTGCACATGCTAATCACAAGTCTACAGGCCTGTGCGTGTTCGTGAACATGACGTATATGTGTACATTTACATGCATAGATGCCCCAACAAAAACGCACATACCCATGGCTTTTGTTTTCATCTTTTTGTATAACTCTGAGAAATAATTTAGTGATGGACTGAAACACACATGCCGTATCTCCACTCTTCTGCAGATTCCTAGAACTTGAGGTCTGTCACCCACACACAATCACAAATACTCAAAACACAGAACCTCAGGCAGCCTAGCTGAGTCTGGCTCCAAAATTTTCTAAAACCATAGTGTATAGAAACAGACACACCTTCTTGCCTGAGCATTTTCATCACTTTATGAGTAATTCTTTTGGGCCTCTTCAAGTGTCCTTTGTATCACCCTTTCTTTACAGGGCTCCCAACTCCAGTAATGGTCTCAGGGAAGCAAATGGGTGGTAGACCAGTTGCTCTCAGATCTAATCATGTATCCAAGTCACTGAGAGTTAAAACAAAGATCTGGGTGAGTGCCCAGCACTGGATTCAATCCACTTAGGACAGGATCTCAGAATTTTGTCTTCCAACAGGTTCTCTGATAATGCTGAGCTTGGTATAGGAACCACACTTTGAAAAACACTCAGGATTCTAAGATGCTGCCCCCAATTATTTTAGCCCCTTTTTTGCAAGTTGTAGTGCACTGGCTTGCAAACTGTTGTGAACCCAAGAACCATTTGTAGGGCTCATTAAAGCAGGTGTCTGGGCCTCAACCCAAGATTTTCATTCAGTTTTGAGATCATTATCAGGTGGTGGGGCTGGAGCAATAACACAGCAGGTAGGGCGTTTGCCTTGCATGCAGCCAACCCGGGTTTGATTCCTCCGGCCCTCTCGGAGAGCCCGGCAAGCTACCGAGAGTATCCCACCCATATGGGAGAGCCTGGCAAGCTACCTGTGGCATATCCAATACGCCAAAAGCAGTAATAAGAAGTCTCACAATGGAGATGTTACTGGTGCCTGCTCGAGAAAATCAATGAACAACGGGAGGACAGTGCTACAGTGCTACCAGGTGGTGCTCACCAAGGCAAGATTGGCATCAACCTGCTCTGCTGCCCAAGTCCTACTCACCTATAGTCAGCAGCAGGTCTGGCAAAGGGATTTTTTTTTAACTCCTGGGTGACTGCAACCATATGGGAAACCACCGTGGTGTCTGTTTCCTGAACCCCAGCCCACCTGCTGTCACACTCTGACCTAGGACAGCTCAGTCCTCCACATCTTTGGTCCCCAGATGGACTCTGAGGGGGCCAGAGAATACTCTGAAATGTAGTCAGCCTTGTTCTCAGAACCATGGGGCCCATCCCCGTGCCTCAGAGGCAAGGTAAAGGAAATGAAACCACGGAGGGCAACACCCACCCGAGCAGGCCAGCAAGCGTATGCACAGCCACAACAGAGGTGGGGGGAAATTTGGAGAGGGGGCAACAGATGCGAGGTGAGGGGCAGGTGTGCCGTGAAATAGGTGCCCGAGGGGGCAGGAGGCAGCCACAGCAGGTGGACAGGGCTGGGCAGGTGTGTAGGCAGGAAGACCTCCAGCCCTGCGGCTGCCGCCCTGAGCCAGTAGGCAGAAGAGAAAGGAGAGGTAAGGAGCGTGGAAAAATGGGGGAGGGGGGAAGGTGGTTGGCGGCGGGGAGTACTCACAGGAAGGTGAACAAAAGGGGGAGGCCGGAAAAGGGGCACCCCCTCTGTGATCCTGGTGAGGCTGGCACAGGAATGGGCCTGCTCTC